TCAAGTGAAGTAATGCAACAGAACACAATGTGGTTTCTGTCAGCATCAGCCACTCCAACTTCATCTTCACACTGCACAACTGTCTTGCACAAACGTATTTATATTGGCCTCCGTGTACAATATCCCACTCAAAGTCTGCCCTGTGGCATCTGCACCAACACGCACCAGGGCTATAAAGGAGCCAGCCCCCAGACCTGTGGGATTTGCCTTCAGTCCTCACTCAGCATTTCCACAGACACCAAAAGCAGCACTGGTGGCAATGACAGCGAGGAAAGCTGTTCTAGCAGCAGGGTAAGCGTGGGTGCAGTGGGCGGCAGCAGCAGGGTTGGGCTCAGGATGCTCTGAAGCAGCTCCCTGGTGAATCTGCTCTTTCCTCTTTATAGTTTTTGGGATCTTTTTCTATAAAATTTAACTTCTCAGGTCAAAAGAAGCCTCTGTGAAATGCTCAGTCAAACACACAGTTGGCCAAGTCTCACCTGGATGCTGGCCAGTGGTTATGTGTTTTCTTGCTGAAGAGAACTATGCTGACATCCAGCCACATGGAGCCACTGTACAAAAGATCTGTTCTACTAAAAATCCCAGATGTGTTTAACTGGGGGGGGAAAAAAAAAAAAAAACGACCATAAAAATCTTAATCACTGAAAAAGAGGATGGGAGAATCCTGCGGGGTTTGTGGTTTCACAGGCCTCGCAAGCTATTTCTGGGAAGCACAAACCCCATTTGATTTTATGAATCAAATGCCCCTTAAAATTACAGCCCTCTCCTCTCCTCTTTGCCTCCTCTCCTCATTCCGAGTGGCTAAATAAAGAGCAAACAATGCCATATTTGCATGCATACACAGAGGGCCCTGCAAAGAGTCAGAGGGCAGCCCTGGCACCAGATGCACTGTCTATGCCATGCAGCACAGACTGCACATCCCACAGCAGTAATGCTGATGGAACAGGCATTTTTGGCCTTCAACACCTAAAACGCCACGTCTTGTGAACTTACAGAACACTTCTAAGAGGTGCTGTGCTTTTCTTCGCGTGGCTCCACTGCACAGAGGCCAAAAGCCCGTCCTGCCAGGTGCTGCACGTCATCTGCAGGTTAGGATCTTTCACAACGTGCTCACGAAACAACAGAGTTTGTACTTCTTTTGTACAGCTTCAACACAGAGTTGACATTTTCCTTGACTCTTCCCACTGAACTAAACGCCATTGGGTTTTATCTAGTCCATTTTTAGACTGGATTATAAAAAAAGGCATTTCTGTTTTCTCTCCCAGTACAGCAGCTCCTGAGCAGAGTACAAGTGAGTTCCCCCTGCTCAACCCCCAGCAACTCACACCCAGGATTCTTCCTGGAACAACCAAGAGAAGTTCAGGGCAAGCACAGAGCATCGCTCCAGGTAGTGGAAACAATACAGAGGAAAAATGCACAATTAATAATTGTGGGGAAGAACTGAACGCACAGCGATTCTGCAGGCCAAATGATCTCTACTGTTACACAGAATTTTCTCACTGCCTGGAATCTGCTGTGCTCAGCCCTTTCTCTGCAGCCCCTGGAGAGACCTGAGGTTGGGATGCACGCTGCCACATCTTAAAGGACCAAACCTTGACAAAAACGTTTCAAAGCGACACGAAACATCAGAACTTCAATACTAAAGGAAAAAATAAAAGTGCTAAAGAAGTACATTTGGCCTTTCACACCAGGAGCCAAGCAGGACCTGAAGTACCAGCCGAAAGAGGAGCTCCTGGCTGCTGCCTGCTCTGGAGGTGCCCTTGACAGCCCCCACTTCATGGAATCTAATTCAGCCCACAGGGCCGCCCCGCTCCAGGCACACAGCCGGGCTGTGCTCAGCGGCGTTCACACTCTGCCTTCAGCTCCCCGGGTGCCTGGAATGGGCCCTGTATCTGTAGCACCTTCTGGCAGAACAAAGATAAAACAACCGTTTATTTATAAAGCAGGAGTGTGGTTTTGCTAAAGAAAAAAAATAAAGAGAAGCATATTTACGCTGCGTTACTCATATCGAGCAGCAGAGCATGTCAGTGGAATGCAGCTCCTCGGCCCCGCAGATAAGGCTTTAAAGCTGACCTTTGCCAAACACCAGAGAGCTGAAGGAAGGACACTCAGGTCAGCCAGGCTGTGCACTACAGCAATACCTCTCTGTCCTCGCTCCCCGATGGATGGCGGTGGCACGCTGCTGCTGGAGCTCCTTTCATTTGCTTCGGACTGGTTTGCAAGCAGACATTTGGCTCTAAGTAACCGTAGCAGTGTTTGAGGAAAGCAGAAAGAATAGGGACATAACACACACGAGAATTAAGATGTTTTCTCGCATTGCCTGTCTTCTTTTCCAGAAGTTATCCATTTAACCTTTTTATTTTTTAAGTTACAGTTGGACCATCTATTTTTCTGCCAACACATAAGTGCAGAACTCTGCACCTATAAATTATACGAAGAAAAGTGCTGAGCATATGGATTTTTTTAAAAACATGATCCTCCAATTAAATCCTCAAATGAACAGAACCTTCCTCTCGTGGTAGATTAATAAAGACAACATGGGAAAAGCACAGCCACCGAGGACGACTGCTACTTGCCATCCATTTGGTTGACTGTGAAGAAAGTCCTGCTGATAAAGCACAAGCACTGAAGTACGAATCGTGCAGGGAATGGTCTCCAGGCTCTCTTCATATTTGAGATCTATTAACCTCTAGAATGTCAATAAATATTTTCGGGTAAGAAAGCTCACCAGAGCTGCTGAAGATGCTCTGCTCCCTATGACAAAGAACACTGCTGCCTTTAATCAGTACCCCTTCAAATACTTCTTTGTGGCACTTCCCTGCGTAACATGGAATCACTCTGAACATACACCCTTCACCAAATTTCCATTTATTCCATAGCTAATAATTTGTTTGCTAGTTTGCATGAAGAGCATACTACATATGATATTTCAAGGTTTTTTTTGCATGGAAAGAACAGCAAACAGCCCTCCTGCTGCATTCCACAACACACAATTTCTCTTTGCAGCTCAGCTCAATCCAGCTGGAACTCGCCAAGCGCTGCTATCCACGAGGCTGTTGCACTCGTGCCACTGGCAGCAGATATGAACCAGGTTCATGACGACCCACTGACATTTGTTCAACTCCAATTCAGTTCGAGCTCCAAGTTTATCATTTCTCTCTCATAAGCTTCTTCCTGATTCTCTCATTTCACAGATTAAATCTGGTTAGCTTCTACAGGAATGTAAACGTTCCCCATTCAGTACAACAGAGATGCCTGCGCACGTTTCTTTGGGTATGTGACCCTTCAAAGTTTAGAACAATGCGTCCTCTCATCAGACAGGCCCACAACCTTTCAGGGTAATGAAGTGTGATTAAATATCTTTCTTGGTTACAAATTTTAAAGGCACGACTGTAAAGTGGATTACTGCAGAGGAAGTCTCACTTTATTTTCACCTTTTCACGTCCTTGCGCTCATACTCCTGTATAACAATGGGCAGGGCATGCTGAGAGCAAAATGAAAATCCTGGATTGAATCCCTTTAACGTCAATGTAATGTTTGATATGGAGCATACGAAGGAAAAAAAAAAACCCAGAAGTAGTTTGTCTTTTCCCTTGTGGATGATGATGTGCAGGCATTACCCTAGAGCTCAGTCTGACTTTCCCTGAATTAATGGGAACATTTGCTGTCACTTCCCCATAAATGGGTGAGGCTTTTAGTGGAGAGATAAATTGCAAGGAGAAACTGGAAAAAGGTTCCTAAACCAATTTTGTTTAAAGAAAAAAACAACAACAAAAAGCCACAAAAGGCAATCCTCAGCAGCCCAGACAAAATTCCAGCACAGCTCCCTGCCTTCTGCGCTCACACTGCTCTCCTATGGGTTTCTGACAGCTTTGCTTCACCTTAGAAAACCAAACTTGGCAGAAGCAAATGCAAAATGCACACCTTCTCAAATCATTACAAACATCTCCCAACTGCTGAAGTGCACAGCAGCCTCCACCTCCCACAGTGCAGCTTTGCTTCACACGGCACCGCATTCAAAACGAGGGCTCTGAGTTCCAGCAAAGAGCTCCCCTTCCTAAACAAAACCAGTAACTTCATTGCAGGTACCTTCAAAAGACAAAACCACATTTTATAGCGTTCCATTAGAGGGCATCCTAGCATGTCCTTTTGTGGTCAGATGCTTTCCCTAATTTATACTCTGCAATAGTTTGTGAACGATCTTCTACACAGGCAGTCATTCACAGCTTCATCATCCAGACAGGTGGGTTTTCAGCATTACTTCATATGTGCAAGGTGTGAATAAGCTGGACACACAATCATAACATTAATGGCAAACTTTTGAACAGCTGAAGAGCAGACTCAAAAACAATGGGAGATTATAAAAGGTAAGCAAGTTCGGTCATATATATCTTGAAATGAGAGACTCAGGTTCTCAAGGCTTACCACTGACAGAAGCTCCGGTGCCAAACTCAAGGTGGCAACTGCTGAGAGCCAGCAGCAGATTATGGGTTCCAGGATAGAGGGGACATGGTGTGAAAACAGCCAGTGCTCACATCCTGGTACCTGGTCTTTAAGGACTTTTATAACTGTTTGCCAATACAGTTACAGATGGACACAGATCCAGGTTATGACCATCAGTTCCATTATATTAGTAAAAATCCCCTAGGTAGTAACATCTACTCAGTCAAACATGATCCCTACTGGGCTATGACTAAGAAGGTCAGTTTCACCTCACACAGTGTGTTCTGTATGTACACTGAAATCAGTTCAAGGGCTGAAGGCACCAGGGGACCTAAAGGAAATAATACTGGAAAACAAGAAGTCTAGCTTAAGAAATAGGAGTTGACATGATAACATGAAAATTTATCTATGAGACAGATAATTCGGTTACAATAAATTATGATCCTATCTGACTTCAAGTGGAATGTAGAAGTGCTTCTGTCACACAAAATGAAAAATGAACTTCTGAGTGCTGAAATGCAAGATTAATGAATTGACTTAAGAGACATGAAACAACTTACGATGATCCTGGACTTGCTGTTGGTGGGGGACCTGGAAAAGTGACAGAAGAAAAACAGTGTGATGAGTTATAGTGAGGTAACAAGCAGGAAGCTTTTCAAAACCTTTTAAAAGATAAAAGTAACAGTCTGTCATGTCAAATGTGGTTTACGTAGTTTAACAGGCAAGTCTCCATTTCTCAATAGCAAAGACAAGACTGTATCCTGCAGCAGTGACTGTCTGCAAAATGCTGTAGATAAGGGTACTAAACAGCTGAGGGACTGATTCTGTAATTCGACTGTGTTTGGGGTCACGACAAAAAAGGCTGCAGCAAACCACAGGAGGCTTGTACAAAAGCATGTTCTAACTATAAGTGGGAGAAAACAGCATCATTTCCCCCTATCAATCTTCACTGTGTTTCAGGGTATTCATCCTTGGCCTGATTCAGCAGGCGTTGGCTGACAGTGTTTCGCTGGTGGTGCCTTTGGCATTTATGATTTGGCAAATGCTGGACTGGCTGAGCTGACTGCAGTTCAGCAGCACAGAGCAAACTGAAGAGTCAGCTGCAGCAGGTTTAAGAGACATTCATATTAATGAGCACTTGCTTTAGAAATTGAGTTGTAAGATTAAATGTTGCTCCAGTCAGCAAACCACAAAAAATATTCTGTGTTTTCTACAGCAGCTTCTATTAAAATGCTATTTTTTAGACAAAAATATCCTAAATTTCAGATTCAAACTAAAGGACAATTACTTCATGAGAAAATCCAATGACCAATTTCTTATTAGAATTTAGAGATTCATGACAAAAGACTCTGGCACACATCAGATACATCATTCCTTCTGTGTCACTGTGAGGGCTGCCTGGGGTTCCACACAAGCATCCTCACCTCAGTGAAGTATTTCACCTGAGAGGAGATGGTCAAGATGCACAAAACCCATCTCATGTCTGGAATCACCCCAGTCATAAGACTGTCTCTGAAGGCAATTGCCTCAATACAAGCTTCGAAGAAGTACCTATTTTATCTGAAAGGTATATATATATATCTCTCTCACTAATGGGTCTACATATAACATTTTCACTCCACCTCCAATCTTCTCCAAGCTGCAAGCTGAATTTCTCACTTACAGGAAGAAGATGTCACTTGGGCACTTGAGAAAATCACAGCATTTATCATCTGGGTCTGAATCCACCCAGTTGGTGCATAAATAAGCACTGCTGCTCAGCAGTCTCTGTTTATGCCCTGGTTCTATTGGATTTCTGTATACTAAAGACCACCACTACAGTTGGCATGATGGGCATCTGAGCTGAGCAGTAAGCAGTGCTGCTGGCTGATACCATTCCATCGTAGAGTCATATCACAGAATGGCCTGGGTTGCAAAAGAGCACAATGCTCATCTAGTGCCAACTCCCTGCTATGTGCAGGGTTGCCAACCAGCAGCCCAGGCTGCCCAGAGCCACATCCAGCCTGGCCTTGAATGCTTCCAGAGTCACTGCCCTTGTTTTCAGTGGTTAAAACAACACAGGAGCTGGACTTGAAGATCCCACGGATCCCTTCCAATCTGGGATATCCTATGACTCTAAGAACTTTGTCCAGAGTTACTCGTGCTATTTTCCTAGGTAACAATTCGAACAGCTTCATAGGAGGTAACGTACCGAATTTGACAAACAGCACACCGGTCGTAGAAACAGTCTTCCTGCCGTTGGTGGCGACGCACTGGAAGTAGCCGGTGTCGGTGGTGTCCAGGTTCCTGATCCTCAGCCGGGAGCCGTAGCTGGTGGCACGGAAGGAGATGCGCCGGGGCTCCTGGACCACGGGAGCGTCGTTCTTCAGCCAGCGCACGGTGGGCGGAGGATTGCCGGACACCTTACAGTGCAGCTCTGCAGTCTGGCCAAGAGTGGTGGTGATGTTGTTCATCGGCTCGTCGAGCGTCAAGAAGTAATCTGTCGTGGAAAACGAAACAAGGTGAGTTACAAAAATCCAGCTCGGGAAGCGTTATTTGGAAGAGCTCTCGTTCCTATCTTTGAAAGGGAAATGAAGGAAGTGGACATTGGGTTTAGCCAAAAATTCTCCTTGTTAATTTGCGTTTCAGGGCCACTGTGGGTTCCACATAGTTTTGCACAGTGGAAAAAGGAACAAATTTTGCTATTTTCACTACACTGTAGTCAAAGAATCACAGAATGGCCCTCATTGGAAAGAACCTCTAGGATCATGAATCTCCAACCCATCGCCACAGGTGGGGCCACCAACCTCCACATTTCATAGCAGCCCAGGCTGCCCAGGGCCCCATGCAACCTGGCCTTGAACCATCCCCAGGGATGGACGGGGCCCCCACAGCCTCTCTGAGCAGCTGTTCCAGCACCTCACCACTCTCATAGCAAAGAACTTCCCCCTGACATCCAGCCTAAATCTTCTGTCCTTCAATTTAAAACCATTTCCCTTTGTCCTGCAGTTATCTACCCTTTCAAAGAGTTCATTCCCCTCCTGTATGTAGGCTCCCTTCAGGTACTGACGGCTGCAATGAGGTCACCCCACAGCCTTCTTTCCTCCATGCTGAACAAGCCCAGCTCCCTCAGCCTGTCTTCATACAGGAGGTGCTGCAGCCCCCTGATCATCTTTGTGGCTCCTCTCTGGACCCTCTCCAACAGCTCCCTGTCTTTATTGCACAGGGGGCTCCAGACCTGGACACAGTACTCACAGTAGTCACACAGTAGTCATACTGTCATTCTCAAAAGCTTCTTTTCCTTTGTACATCCATAGATTTTCTCCACTTTCTCAGCATCCTCCTATATTTGGCTTCATTCAACACAGCAGAAAGACGTAACGCCTCTCCTCTATTTAATTTTTTTTTTCTTTTTGCTAACCAGTAAATGCAAAAATATCCATTGTAAATTCAGCCACTTATTTTATTGTTTGTGCCTCACACATCTGCCCTGCTCATGTCTGCATGCACACAATGTACCGATGTATGAAATCAGCCACTCAGCAACGAGGACCTCAGAGCCATTTTTAACGGAGCTGCAAAACCACAGTCAGGAACCATGTTGTGAATGGTTCTGCAAGCACTGAGAGCACAGATGAAGGAATGGGGATCATATCTACGAGATGAAGGCTTTCTTCTCAGTCAGTGTTTCCTCTGGGGAGGGCACTGAAGTTTAATCTGAAATAGGTCTCATGATAGTTGCAAGCATAAGATCAAGAATTCTTTCATTTTGTTAAGACAGAGAATGTTAAATCACGATTTCACAAAATTAATCTCTTCTAATCCATTCATGAGCATTGCCTTCTCCTGTCAAGTGCTATTTCATCCTGCATCGGTCAGGAAGAAGGCCATTTCTAGTTAACTGTACTCAGCATTTAATTAAATCCTTTAAAGGCAGAGAGCGAGATGGATTGGGTTAGGGGAATGGAATACACGGGCTTTCATCTCGGTGTCACAGGTTCAAACCCAACGTGGTCATTAGTGGGCAGAGCCCATTAGCAGTGCTGGCTGTCTCTGCAGGGCGGCCGGGCAGTGGGAAACCCGGGGCCCTGCTGCTGTGCTCTGCCAGCAGGACTGGGAGGTCGATGAGGCCCATCAGTGAGTGAACTTGTGCTGCTGGAGCGGCCACGGTCGGCTGCATCCACTGTTACCTGCAGCAGCAAGCCTGCCTGAAATTAGGAGAAAGATCTCCAGCACCCAATAAAAACAGCTTGGCTAAGTACCTTACTCAACTAATCCACTTCCCTAATTACTTATTTTAATCATGTCTTCACTGGCTACTCCCTTCATTATGTCTTGTGAGTATCGGTATCTCTCCCCTTTGTATTTAATCTCCTTAGTGCGTGAGTTCTTACCCTGGATTTGCGGCACGTCCCTGTTCTCCTGAGGTGCTGTTAGGGTAAGCACTATGCACAAAGGAGCTGCCCACGCAGCAATCTTCCACTGATCAAGTTTGTTAACACATAGATATGAAACTGCAAAATCATACTGCTACCTGTGCTCCTATGGACCTGGTTAGTTAAAGTCGTGTTTGGTGTCAAAGCAGCTGAGTGGTGAAGGCAGACAACGGGCTCAGCATCCCACCTGGGTGCCGGGCTGCTCCTTACCTCTCCAGAGCCGCTTTTACATGACTAAAAGCATTTCTGACTTGCACCTTCGTAACCTCACTGGGAAGTATCATCTAAATCAACACATGTATTCTTGGGCTCTCCCCACAGTCTGTGCTTAACAAAGTCACAGTAATCATACGGAAGTGGATAACCACACTTAATGATCCAATGCATTTCTGCATCACAGTCCTTGACATAACTCCTGAATGTGTTTCAAAGTTCAGACATCTTCAGTGCAATACAGACAGAAAACAGGATGGCCTCAGTCCCGTGATGGCCTTGCTGACAACCAACAGTAAATAGAATATTTAGAGGTCCTGGAGTGTACAGAAGAAGCAAATAAAGGAATAATAATGATGGATAGGATACCAAAAGAAGAAGGATTTCAAAGTGCCAGTGCCAACAGTGACGCAATGGGGAAGTATGGCCATCACAGCAAGAGCTATGGGGCAGCATCTCTGCGGGCACCCACAGAAGCAGCCTCTGGTGCCAGGACTTCCCACTCTTCCCCAAGCTTTCTTTGCCTTCTCTGCAAACTGTTATAGGAACTCTACAACAAATAGCATTCTCAAAATTCAGCTTAGCTTAGTCCTTCAATCCACGCAGTTTGCATCCAAATCTTACATCAGCTCAGGCAGCAGACTGTAAAATACCTGACATGAGATGTGAGCAGGGAAAGTTCCAGGCAGCTGGAATCTTGAAGTTTCTCATGGGTGAAGCATTTCTGTTACTGACAGTGAGCTGAAGGTCCAACAGTGCTTCCAAACCATGCCAGGTTTGGGAACCTGAGGAGTACTGGACTAAGAGAACGGATGAGCGCCATCCACTGCTGCCCTCACTTAGCACAGGGCAGCCGAAGGGAAGCCCAATTCTACTTCCAGCCCTCAAATTTAACCCTTACCTACCAAAGCTCATCAAATCCCCAAAGCTACCACCACCATCCTCTCCCTAACGACAACCAACAACAAAACAACTCCTCAGGTTTCTGTCCACCCTCCCTCTGGTGCCATCAGCTCTAACGCCATCTAATTTGGGACAAAAGAGGCCAAGAAAAACAGGGGTAGATCCTCCTTCTGGGCTTCAGCAGGGGGTGAGCAGGGCTGCCGCCCCAAGCTGACTCTCTCTGCCCAAAAGAATAATTTGTTAGAAACACGATGGCCCTTAACGAAAAGTTAACGACACTCAAGTGGCAGCAGCCATTGGAAAGTGTGAGTGCAATGCTGGCTCCGAGCAGCGCTGGGTGAATCACCCCGGCTGGGATTTTAGAAGAGCCGAAGGGAAGCAGACACCCAAAGCCAATCAAAGCTCACACGGGATTTGTGCAACTAAGTCCTTTTAAAAACAGCCTTAAACCTTTTGGCTCGGTTTCTCCAGCTATAAAGTGAGGATAATAATCCCTCTTACATCATGGGGAGGCTGCTATGTACATTAATGAGATAATGCTCGTAAAGCACTTTGAAGGTGAAAAGTGCTACGCTGGGATAAGCGCTGTTGTTATATTTGCAGTTCAATCTCAGGATTTCAAGAACAACAACAGCTGGTCCGTATTTTAGAGCTGCACTCTATGAGAACGTTTCAGACGCATTTCAATTTACGGAAGTACAGGAGAATAGCCTGAATAAGTTCTAAATAAAATTTAGCTCACCTATAATTTAATAATAGGCAATTGACTTTTTTTTTTTTAATTTGTAAAAACAATTTACTGCTGGGTCTACCCCCTGAATGCCAAGTTTCAGCCCACAGACGTTTTTTTTTTTAATGGCTGAGTTATAAACCCTTGAAAAATGCTGACAGCCCTTTTACTATAGCAGCACTAGCGGGTGCCCTATAATGAACTTTTAAATGACTTGAGATAATATCTGGAAAGCCAAGCCTGAAATATATTTCTGGTTTTGAGCCGTTGCCAATGCAAACACAACACATCATAAGTCATCTTCATGATTCTAAGCGCATAAATTGGAGACACTGCATATAAAATCCAAATATTAGGTATCCTTCGTGGCCAAACTCTGCGCTGGTTTGATGTTACAGAACAGCAACAGCTGTGCGAGGACGAACTGTAGTGCGTTGCGTGTCTCCAAAGAAGAGAAGTGTGTGTATTTCCACAGCTATGTCTTGACATTGTTAAATAGGAGCCTGCTCAGCCGTAATAAATTCTGAAGTATTCCACCACTTTTAAGTAGAACCCAGGTGGCTTTCAAAATAAAAGCTCATCCTCTCCGGCCAAGGAATGTTAATCTCCTCTGCGACCACATGGTTGCTCTATCTTAAATTACCAAAGACACCTCTCAGAGCAGTAAAAGCCTCCCTGTCCATAGGAGGCTTCTGCTGAGCCGTGCGTGCTCCGCGTTTCTGGTTTCACTAGGTGTATAAGGCACGGTGGGGATGCAGGATTAGTCCCCGAACCATTCGTTTCATGAGAAGAACGATTGTTTCACTTATCCTCCCCTTTGAGCCCTTCTAATCTTTCAAAACGTTCAGGAAGAAGCTCAAATCAAAACCCTTGTTCAGGTCACAGCAGGCACCAAGGCAGCTTAAACCCAGGTGCAGCAGAGCACTGGCACTGCAGTAGGCATGGTAGAGATGGGTTGTCAGGTGGACTTGCTGTAGTAGAGATCTTTTCCAACCTTAATGTTCTATGATTTCTATTTCCTCTGAGCTTGGGATGAGCCACATTAGCCCAGACGACGCTACATGTGGATGCAGCCCACATTCCCATTTATCAGCACTGCCATCCGCTCCGGCAGTGGGAATGTTCCATACAGAATTGCTCTCAAGGGAGAAAGTCTACAACTCCGAGCCCACCCAGAACTTGCAGGATGGGTTTTTCTGTTTGCTTCACGTGTTCAGC